TCTCGAAAAACAGCAGTTCAAAGTCTAGTTGCAGAGGAACAAGCTGCCTAAGTTCTCTCGGAGTTATTTCTACATTTATATTTTTTGTGACTTCTGCATTATTTTAGGTCTGAGGGAATAAAGAGCAATCAAACATTCTGTTGGACAGCTCCTTTTTGGATACAGTATGTGGGAAAAGAACTTGCGGAAAATATCAAGCTAAAAAGCCTGACCTAGAAGATCGAAAAAAAGCAGAGAAGAGATAAAAGAGGAAGGAGAAAATAGGCAAATAATCTGCATCTTGTATCCTAAGTGAGATGTGACAATAATTAATTCAATCAATCTGTTTGATATATTATTTTAACACAGAAATGGACTAACCTGAGCTGCCTTGAAGTGGTACGAACTCAAAACATAAATAGATCGCCGAATGATAATTTAAGCAAAGTAATAGATCAACTCACGTCATTGCTGATGGAAGCTGTGTAGGTACTGGTGATAGCGGTAACGGAGGCAGCCTGCCCTGCTCCTCTAGTTCCATAATCGCTCTCTTGCTGCTCACTTGCCATGACGACTTGTGGAGGTACTACACACTCACACCCTTGCTTCTCGATGTACCTGTTCTGCACACGCTGTTCTTGCATTCTGTATTGTTCTTCTGGTCTTGGGTCACAAGTGATGTTGTTGTAATACATATTGTATCCGACAAGGTTGTAGTATCGATCTATCTTGTTGGCACAATTGTTGTCATCAGAATTTCTTCTGAGGCGCCAAGAGTCCACTTCCTCTCCCTCTTCCTTATCGCCATGGGCAGTGACAGAAGCTTCTGCCTCCGCGAAGCCAGAGGCAGCTGGAATGGCAACAGCTGGGAGTGGCAGCACAGGCACTCGTTGGTGCCTCTGAGCAATTGGGTTGGCAGAGTGCACCTGTGCATCACAGGCGGTACATAGTGCTGCTGCATCTGCATGGCATGCCAGCACCGCTGGTGCACTCTCACAGGTTTCGCAGACACGCACACGCTCATGGCGTGATGCCACACGGTTAGCAGAATGAACCTGTGTGTCACAAGATGCACAGAGATATGCAGCATCAGCACAGCAGTATACTGCGCTTGGTGCTGCATGGCATCCATCGCATGGCCTGGCCCATGGAAAACTTATCCTTCCAGCTTCGTTCTCCAAAAGGTTGCTGTTGAAATTGCAATTCATGAACATATAAATCTTGCAACTTGTAGGTGGAGGGGTCTTACCGAAAACTCTGGCTAGTCTCTAGTGTGTCCTATTCAGGAGAATACATATCTTCTCATGTTCCTCTTCTCCCGCGGCCTTTGATCCTTTTCTTGAACTTACTTGGGAGTGAGCAGAAGCAGTCAGTGTTGGAATTTCAGTGAGGAGTACTAATAGGAGGGTGGCAGTGGAATCCAGTGAGTGACAGGTGGTGTCATTTGTGGGGGCGATGAATGCCGCTGTGCATCTTGTGGTTGCACGCGGATGTTGCTGCTACGCTGCTTGTCTCGATGCCAATTCTCAAATACTACATCATTTTTTGTCAATTATTCGTTGGAATTTGGCACAGGTAGAGAATAAAAGGGTAACAACTTTCACGTAATTTGGAATCATCTAATTGAGCAGGAGTCAAAACATTTGAGAGACCCAGTTTGGAGACTTACTAATGTATAAGGGGTTACACTTTATGTTGTATTTTAGCTAGTTTCCATTTTAGGGATGAATGTGTATTCATCTTTTCCTAATGAATTCGTAATTATAGGCACACTAAGAATTTTCTAAAGCAAATCGTACAGATTTTGTATAAAAGGAACTGCCTGTTTCTTGAACTAGATTACTGGAATAAACCCAAAGATAGGAGAATTAGAAGGCATTGTGGTATAACAAAAGCAGGCAAAGGGTGGGAGATGCTCCTTGCTCTCTTTGTGCACATCTTTTGCAAAAGGGGTCTCTGGATTCCAAAGTCTGAGGTTTTGTGCCATTCGTTCGTACTCCCCTTAGCTGTTCTACCTTTTGGAACCTCATCAAGAGGCAGGAAGCGGAAGATACACGAGAAAAGTTTTAAAGCACCCTGCCATGTCACTAGATAGTTTCAGTGGACCGTATAGATCTGCAAATATCTAAGGTGATGTTCAGCCTAGGAAGTGCATTTACTGGCATCTTCTGCATTTTCTTCGCTGCAGTTATTCATATGGTTTGGTTTGTTAAATCTCTAACCTATCTCTTCCATGACTCGACTATCTGTGACTGGAAGTTCAGTTAATTAGCTGTTAGCTTGCGTTATTGCAGGCTAGTCTTGAAATGACTTGTTCTTATGGATCCAAGTCTTGAAATAACTTCGCTGAAAGACTTGAGCTTAATTTACAGACAAACTTAGAGCTTGTTGTTAGAAAAAAGGCTTGAGCTTAAGCATGTTACCGATGATTCATAGTTTGATGTTGGGTGGTTAGTACAGTTGAAATTTACCAAATATACTCCTGTTGATTGTGGTTAGAAAAAAGGCTTGAGCTTAAGCATGTTACCGATGATTTATAGTTTGATGTTGGGTGGTTAGTACAGTTGAAATTTACCAAATATACTCCTGTTGATTGTGGACGGCTAATACTGTGTTACTATTTTGAGATAGGATGGCCAAGGTGGGTACTGTTGCATGGTGGCTTCATAATCTGAGTACATAATCATCTTGGCTGCTGCATAATAAGTTCAGAAGTCTTAGCCGACTTGCTTCATATATGAACATAGTGAATACTATAAATAATTGAGCAAATCTTGTCCATCAGATCTTTTGAAACAGACTCAAGCCTGTCAACAAACTTATACTGGATGTATTGGAGTACAGAATATATTCAGTTCCAGAAAAGCTTACAGGACTATACTATCTTAATTTCTATACAAGCTATGCTCATCATAGACAGTAGCACTCTGATAATCTTTCCCTACATGTAGTTCCTATGCATACAGCTGATAGAAAACAGTAACCGTTTTTCTAAGTGGCATAACTATGGACTACATATATGTTACCATGATTGTGCCTGCGTGCTGTTGTGGTAATTCTGTTCTCTGTTTGCAATTTAGTGTGGAAAGATTATTACCAAGCTCTATTGTTTCATATAAATGTGATGTGATGAACACTCTACTGAGAGCCTTTTTCTCTACAATTGGTTCGTTGGATTGGAAATTTGGAATAGGATTACGACGGGTGAATGTCATGATGTGGCACACTGCTTTGTTTTGCGCCTAGATTTAATAGATAATATATGAAGTTCAGTGTGACTGATTTGCAGTAGGGTCATGCCAGTTTGAATTATAAGAACACATCAGGGTTGTCTTTGGCCCATTGTCCACCCTTTGTGAGGGATTCTCTTAGCATCCTTCACTGCTAGTAGCTCACATGTGCTGGTGTGAATGGCATGGCTGCCAAGGATACATCACTGAAAAACATGTCCCAACTTCCAACCATGACTATGAATTATAGTATAGGGTGTTAGCAAGTTTTAGTGTACATCCTTAAAAATAATATTCAGTGTACCATGCTGGCTTTGAGCACATTTATTTCCTTCCTCTTGCCATAGGCAGCACTGGAAATGCCTAAGTTTTTCTGTGTGTGTGCATGTAACATACATCTCCTATAATTTTCCAAGATTGGTGAGCTCAAACCACCAGACAACAACACAGGAGACTTTTGATCAATTGGTATGTCGTCGTTCATCTTCCCTTGACTTACTTTCACTGCATTACATATACTCTAAAGTCTTCTATCATTTCCTTATTATAATGGTCAGAAATTGTAACTTTTGCATGGAAATCTCTGTTAATAAATAGAGGAACAGAAAAAATTGTGATGAAAATGACCATGCTGCATCACGCTTTAGGCTTTCCACCCTCTTATCCTATTATCTACTTGCTGCGATTTTACAGGCGCATAACTCTTCAAAAGTGAGTATGTGTATCACGCCCAACTGTAGAGCATGTCATTCAGACTGAGATGGGGTGCACAGTGTGTGCTGATCCGCCTAACCCTTGTGTGCTTATTCCCTGCCTTTCATTTTCATGACTGTTTGGTGTAGGTTAGTTTTCTCATTTGTGTACTTAAATGAAGGAATCTGGTTTGACGAATTCGCTGCATTTGCTCACTTGGTTCTGATCTAAGAACCACACATAGAACGACTTTGCTCACCACCTTATCTTTTTCCCTTCCCTTTTTCTCATCCACTTAATCCGCTTATCCCTTCCACATGCTTCTTATCCTCTCAGCTCTATAGCCTTCTCTAGTAGCTCTAGTGGCTTATTTTCAATGTCGTGTGAGATGGAGAGAGAGCTAGGCAATCCACACATACACTTCAACACCCCCTCTCAGGTATGGCTCAAGAGGCCTATATGTAGACACAGAGGGGACAACAACAATTTTTGGATGACTTGCGAAAACCAGGACTTGAACTCAAGACCTTAGACTCTGACACCATGTCAAGCTTCATGCACTAGTCAACACAACCAAAAGTCCGAACTGATGGAAAGGGCTAGGCAAGCCACATATACACTTCAATGGTCGCTACCCTGCGCTGGCTACATGTGGCACCGCCACACTAGGCTATGGCTAGCACTCCACCTGCGACAGCTGGCAAGCCACAGTGCCGTTGTGTCCAAGGATCCTTCATGGCACATCTGGACTCCCCGACAGCGAACCAGAAAGCCCACGGTTGCGGGGCACGATAGTACCCTTGGTGATGGGCCATGACAGACGAATCCTGGCGCTCCCGTGGTGGGCTCAGCCGGATCCGACCACCGGCCAGGTCCCCGTGGCTACCGGATTCCGCAGTGACAAAGTGGGCTGCCGCATCCACTAAGGCTAATTTGTTTGAAGTTTTTATTTTTGAATTTTTTGAAAGCTTCCCCAGATTTTCTGAAAGTTGGGCCTAAGATTTTCTGATGTTATGAAAGTTTTGTGTGTGTGTTTCCAAAAGTTCACCCAAAAATTTGTGGAAGTCCGTTTTTGAAAAGTTTTTTTTGTGGAAGTCCACTTTCTATAAGTTTCACCAAAAAATTGTGGAAGTCTTCTTTGCAAAAGTTTGAACAAAATGTTTGAACGTTGACCTAAAATTCTGAAAATCCTCTTTTCTGAAAGTCCAAGATTTTTCATGTTTGATGCCCCGGAGATGACGATGCCTCTGTCGATTGGAAACGGAAGGGAGAAAAAAAGGGGGGAAAAACCAGGTTGGAGCGTGTCGCCTGCTCGTTCTGTCCTTCAAGTGACCGTACTGCTCTTTTCTAACGGGCGACTACTATTTAGCCGTGCCCCACATAGAATTAACACATCAAATAAAAACTGGAAGCTCTTTGCCCTGGAACGGCCTTCTGGTAACGCAAACCAAACCTATCCACAAAATTCCAGCTATATGAATTAAAATAGCTTGCACCCGAGCCACATTCCTGCACTATCATACAGTGGCTGAGCGAGGAAATATGGTCCAATGCTGGGTTGACTCTGTGGAGTTTGTCAAGAAGTCAACATGGCAATATCACTGACAATGCTGGTGGAACATAAAATCACTCAAGAGCCTCATTCCATTTGCTGTGGTTGTTTCATGCCTGTTCTTTTGTTTGCTGCTGTATTTGATGCAGATCTTCTTTTCTAGAGAAATTAATGCAGATCTTTGCCATCAAGTTATGATGTCAGTTGCATTGAGATGGAAATGCACATAGCATGTTCACTACTTTCTTGACAAAGATTTGCTAGATTATAAGTTACTCCCTCCGTTCCTAAATATTTGTCTTTCTAGAGATTTCAACAAGTCTATATACATCCGTATGTGGTAGTCCATTTGAAATCTCTAAAAAGACAAATATTTAGGAACGGAGGGAGTACAAAGGAAATAAGTATACTAGAGTTTGGACCTCTATCAGTTGAAGACAACATGACACTGCCAGGTTGTTGCAATCCAATGGCAACAATTTTACAAAAGGGGGAAAAAGGACCAAAACTTGCATCTCAAAAAATATTGCTCTGTCATCTTTATTGTACCAACAGTTTACAGAATCTGTTAATGTAAAATATACCATGCCTAGATAACTAGGTTGTGCCCTTCTTCTTTGTACAGTTCATCTGAGATGTGCTACACTTCCTGACAGAATGCATCATTAGATGTTGGCTACATTATGTTGTTTGCCATTTTAAGCAGGTTTTGCTGTACAGGTCCTGCTGGAAACAACTGATGATGTTTCCTTCTTCAACTCTCTGTCGTGTTATCATCTCGGTCCAGAGAGCTCAACTGCTTGCACCAGCAACGACGAGTCGTCTGTCAGGTCGGAGTAGCAACGCCCGAAGGTGAAGTCAGGCACCTTGAACTTGTGCGAGTCAGTACGCTGCGACGCCTCCCACCGCTCTGCGAGCCCGTCACCTTCGAGCATCCTGACCACCTCCGACATCTTTGGCCTGTGACCGGGGAGATACTGGGTGCACAGCAGCGCCACCTGCACCATCTCCTCTAGCTCAATGTGGTCGTAACTGCTTCCGAGTCCCTTGTCGACAAGCACGTCGAGCTTCTTCTCCTGGTGCATCTTCTTCACCTGAATAGAAGCCAATGCCATATAAGTAAGACCTCTAGTATGATGAGATCATATGCATGAAACCACACTGTACCATATGAGTATGACAATGATCTTACCCAGTCAAGCATGGCTCCCTTCTGATTTGATGACTTTCCAAACTCAAGTGCAGTCTGCCCGGTGATCAGTTCTAGCAGCAGGATCCCGAAGCCGAAGACATCAGTTTTCTCAGATGACTGGCCCGTGGAGAGGTACTCTGGGGCAATGTGGCCTACAGTTCCCCTCACAGCTGTGGTGACATGCGAGTCACGGTGATCCAGGAGCTTGGCAAGCCCAAAATCTCCAACAATTGCTTCACAGAAGTCATCGAGCAGTACATTTGCTGCCTTTACATCCCTGTGGATGATCTTGGGATCACACTGCTCGTGCAGGTATAGTAGGCCTCTTGCTGCACCGAGGGCTATTCCCTTTCTGGTGATCCAGTTCAGTGGTGGCTTCCCTGTAATTGGTTATGTAAGAACGAAATTTAATATCTGGTCATGTGGGATTCTTTGTTCTAAAGCTATGCCCAAAGGAGAAGAAATATAATGTGAGAATCAAATGCAAATCTTTCTGTAATCATTTTTTCAAGTTGAAGTTTCGAACGAGCATTGGCAGAATGTCAGTTACTCAGAAAAAAATAATCCTTCAAGACCAACTTATATCTGTTGATGAATGGTGGCTATGTCACTAGCTTGTGATTATTCAGATTTATGTTTTAAGAAACAACCATCCTGAAATTCTGATGTGTTTTACCTTTCAGGCGTGATGCAACACTTCCATTGGACATGTATGGATAGATCAGTAGCCTCTCGGTTGCAGTCATGCAGAACCCGCAGAGCCTAAGGAGATTCCGGTGCACTGCCAAGCTGATCATCTCGACTTCAGTCTGAAATTGCAATTCCCCGCCTGCGGCATTTCCATCTTTCAGCCTCTTGACTGCTACTATAGTTCCATCTGGGAGCTTCCCTCGGTAAACATTTCCAAAACCGCCTTTTCCTATCATGTTCTTGTTGCTGAAGTTCTCTGTTGCAGCCTGGAGCTCTCTGAACTGAAACCTCTTCAGGTTTTCAAGGTTTACGTTCTCGATGTGCTGGTCTGCAAAATAACCAACACGCTCAGTAACTGATTCCACCCAAGCAAAACAAGCATCTGGCCATTATCAGCTCGGTGAGTAATTTTAGACTTTTTACTTACCATCGACATCGAAAAGAATCTGCCGATTTTTCCTATGCCTCCACCAGAACAGCAATCCCGTAACTAGGAAAAGGATGCTGATGCAGCCTATCGTAGAACCAAATGCAATTGCGGCTTTGTGGCTCTTAGATTTTGCTGGCAGTATGGTACCTTTTTTGTAAAAAGAGTTGTTATTACAACACTTACCATCTATATGATATCAGTGCAGGGTAGAAATTAATCATCGATGGATGAGATCGACTGACTGAGCAAACCTTGTGTGTTATTCAGGCTGTAGGACATCGGCATGGGCAAAGTTCCATAACAATCTTGTTCTGTAGCTGCTCCGCAGATCAGTGGATTCCCTACTATGCTGCAAGAAAACCAATTAATTTTCCCATAAGGTCAGTCTTATTTATGGTAAACATGTCTCCACTGGAGATGGTACTTTGGTCAAAGATAAAATGACACAGCAGTACTGCGGCCTTACTTGAATGTCCTTGCCAAAGACCCTGGAACTGGACCGCTCAGATTATTGTAGGACAGATCCCTGAGAATTGGGAAGTCCGTCTGACAGTGAGCAGAGCACCACAGAGCAGTACACAACCACATAACAACAGCAAAACAAGCAGAGGATACTCACAAGAAAACAAGGTGCGACAGATTAGCCGACGACGAAGGGAATGCGCCGGACAAGGTGTTGTTGTTGAGCCTCCTGTTAGCAGGCAGCACAATGCAAACAATGAGAAGAGCCACTGGCATGTATCATGGCTCATGTTGGAACAACAGGCCATGATTGGGAAACCTTCAGAGTATTCTATCATTCATTCATGGCTGGCAGTGGCACAGTAGAAGAGAAGGGCACTCACAAGTACTGGAGGTCCCTGAGGCGGCTCACGGAGCCGGGGATTTCGCCGGAGAAGTGGTTGCTGGAGAGATCAAGCGTCCTAAGCTTCGTGAGCCTGCCAATCTCTGCCGGGATTCGGCCATTGATGTTGTTGTTCTGCAGCAGGCTGTGAACAAGAGAAGAGGGAGAGAAGAAAAGGTAAGGAAGATCTCTTCCAGCCCAAAAGAAGCATACTCCCATGTGTTCTCAAGAGAAAAAGGAACAGACATACAGTGGTGGTTTGCAAGGCTAATGATGGCAGGAGAAACTCACACTATCTCGAGATTGGTCAGATTGCCTATGCTCGGGGAGAGCAGGCCAGAGAGGTTCTGGCTTGGGGCTTCCCTGAGAGAACAAATTGAAACGGGAGAGAGATGACAAAGGGTTAGGATCCAAAGGAAAACTTGCGACGGAAATGATTGCTATGTGATGGAACCATGGCCTAGCCGCGACAGGAAACTTACAGGCCGGTGACGAGGTTTTCCTGGGAGCAGGTGACCATGGTCCAGCTGCAAGGATCCACCGAGTCCTGGTCCCAGTTCTTGAGCACGCCATGGGGATCCTTGAGGTAGTTCTTGATCGTCATGAGAGCTTGCACTGCAAGTAGAACAGAAGAGAGATTGCCAGTGTGTCACACACCAGTCGCCAGCGCAAGAGGAACAAACAAAGGAAGAAGAGCCAGTAGTTCTTGGTCCGGGAGAAGAATCCAATACAAACAAAACAAGGTGGCGAGCTCCAATGCAAGAAAACCAAAAAAAAAAAAAAAGAGGAGGAGAATAACTAATGGGGCTCTTGATTTGAGGAAGGAGCATCATCAACTAACCTTCATAGTTGACGCCCTTGGGCGAGAGGAGGCCGTTGGCCGGCGCCGGCGCGAGAGGGGAGGAGAAGAGGAGCAGCAGCAGCAGCAGGGGAACCGCCTCCATTGGCAGGGAAGGTCTCTCTCTCTCTGGCTAGGAGCTGCTGGCTGGTGTGTGTTCAAACATGGAAGCAGGCAAGCAAAGGGCGAGGGTGAGGCCAAGGAAAGGAAGCGCGCTCGCAGCCTTTCTTCTCGCACAAGCAGTCGAGTGAAGTTGCCAGTGGCAGCGGCAGTGGGCAGGGAGGGAGGGAGGGAGGGAGGGATGCCTCTCACCTCACCTCACTCACCTCTGATGTGTTGTCAGCAGCAAATGACACAAAGGAAGATGCCTGCGCTCTGGCTCCAAGCAAAGGTACAAAAGCAGGGGAGGGAGGGAGGGGGCAGACATGCCTGCCGCCTGGCCCCTGCTCGCTCGCTCGTCGGAGTAGGAGTAGAATATTGGAGGGACCTCAATATCGGAGCAAGGCAAAGGGAGGAGGCGAGAAAATTCTTCTTTTCCACCCTTTTATGGCCTGGCCTTCTCTCTCGGGGCCTGTGTGAAAACCCAAGCTAGTACTTGTGAAAAACAGTGAGAGTGGGCTGCTAACTCGAGTGGCCTAGGCTAATCCTACCCTAAAAGGAGCAGATTAGTATTGATCCCATCCGAGAAAGGCATTAGCTTTATCGGAGGAGAGCGTGGTTGTACTGCGCCACGACTGACTGTCACAGACCACCACGGCCGGCGGCCAACACCTTTGAGGGATTCTTGCGGCAAAAGAATTCCGCGGCTGGACAAGGGGCTCGGGAGGCGTGTGTCAGCGCGCCAATTCCATTGGGGGGAATAAACAAGGGATCAAAAGTATCTTTGGCCGGAGGAAGGCCCGGAAGATGACAGGGAGGAAGCGCCTCCCTCCCGCCCGGCCTGCCTGAAGTGTGTGCAGCAAATGGACAAGGGAACCTTGGTCACCATGCATTACGGATGGAGAATCAATCAATCGAGGATCAGATTAGGTGGTGGTAAAAGCGAGTGAAATCCCAGTGACAGTCGGGAAGATAAACACAACGCAAGCCGTCATCCGGTGGCGCTGTCGTCTACTGTAGAAGGCGAGCGTCCCTCCTGGGTGGCTGGGTGGTGCTTCGCGCACATCAGCTCAGTTCGTATCAAATCAGTAGGCGGCATCATATGAACAGTGCCATGTAGGAGAGGAAGGAGTACTCCACAGGATAGATCGATGGATGGATGGATGGCTGCGGAGGCACCCGGTGGTGGAGGCAAAGCTTTTTTCCCGGGCAAATGGCAGGTATTTTCCTCGCGGCTCGAATATGATATGGAATCCATGGCAGCCCGCCCATACTACTTGCTAGGCCTTGTCATGTCATGCATCGCATGGTACTTACTTGTGATTCAGAAGCAAGCATGGCATGTATGTGTATGTACTGATGTGTGGTGGAGTACAAGCTGTGCCTGAGGCAACCAATTCAGAAGATTTGGGGTGATGTTTAGGGGGATGGTGACCTATTCTGATGATGCGCCACCTCTCTCTCTCTCTCTCTCTCTCCACAGGGACGGCAGGGAGGGAGGCCTGGCCAGAAATCAAATGGCCATGCCCATACCCCCTCCCTCCTCGGGGCCAGAAATCATTGCAGTCTAGCTAGCACGAGCACGAAAGACGTGACCTCTCTTTTCAGTGAAATGAGGGGTGCTTTGCCTTTGCTTTGCTTTGCCTTGCCTTGCTGTGCTGCCTTTGCCCCCCCTCCCCCTCCCCCTACACCACACCTTTTCCTCTCTCCCCTTTTCCCGCCCGCTTTTCCTTGTGTTTTGTGTATGCCCCGTGTACGTGTGCTATAGTAGAAAGACTGCACAAACGTACGTATACGGGGCCATCAAAAGACCATCTCCGGGCTTATCCCTATGACTATGAACACTCATGAGATGCCACCCTTAAACAGAGAAAAAAGGCGGCATAATTATTGGGTAATTTCAGACACAGCTTGCCCCCTCGAAGCTCTGGATGCACGCACTAGCGGAAGAAATTAAGCGTGTCCGATAAAGCTCGGAGCAAGGGGGCATGGGATCATAATGCCTGTCCAAATCTGTGTTTTCCTCAGGTCCGCATGATCGGCTTTCCGCTTTTTCGGAGATGAGCTTTTGATATTTATTACATTTTCCTTGCCGTCTGATCTGAATGATGGCACTTAGTGGCAACCAAGACAATTAGCACACCAGCCATATTTTAAGGTCAGGGCACACACATAATAAACAAACAAAAAGAAAGAAAGAAGACGTATCTGTGTGAATATACGACGTACACTCACATCTGCCCGGCTAGCCAGCACTGCTACATGCTCAGGCTGTACAGAACAGTACAGTAGCAGAAGATCTTTGCGCCCACAGTCCCCACGCTATGAATCTCAGTGCATCCACTGCCGTTGCTAATGTCATCATCCTGCATGCACACATACTGTGTTTGACTGGGCTAGCTAGGGCGACCAAGCCCATCAGCCAAAGATGCTGCTGCTCATCTTGTGTGTGTGTGAGTGAGTGTGAAATGTGTGATCGTCCATCACCGGGCGGTACAAAGCGGTTGCCTTTGACCACCACCGAAGCCCCAGTTGCACAGCCAAGACGTCACGCAAACTGTCAGCGTCGACGGGCCATTTTTGGAGCCGCTTTGATCTCGCCAAGATGTCGACGGATCGTGCATGACAAAGGCTCAAACAAGGCGCCTTGATGTGCTATAAGTACATCTCTCAACATATACTGTATTTCTTTTTGTCCTAACTTGTATGGCAGGGAACCATCAAGGTCTCTGAGAGTCGAGCTCACCTCTCATCACGCTACGCCAAACGCAGGCAGCTTCAGTAACCCCTTTTAATTTTAGCCCCAAAGTACACGTGACCAGGCGACCAAGAGGCCTTATGCCGGTGTCTTAGGGCCAGTCCTTTTCGGCGATTCTCCCAGAATCGTCCCCCTCCCCAGCTTCTCCCAGAATCACCACTCTATATATTTTTTACAATCCTAGATAATTAGACCTTAACTAAATAGGATTGTAAAAAATATATGAAGTGGTGATTCTGAAAGAAGCTAGGGAGGGGGCGATTCCGGGAGAATCGCCCAAAAGAACTGGCCTTACTCGGGCATCAGCGAGGCGAGAGCGTGGCTATCCCGAGAGAATCTGTGCACCTTCGGGTTTGTCCACGCATTAGCGTCCCAAATCCACCGGTAGTAGTAGCATGTTTGGCCGGAACAGGGATGGGTGGTGTGGTACACAAATGGGGTTTTAGTTTGTGGTGGTACTACTACTGTAGTACTGTGGCAGTTGGGAAGCTCGAGGGGCGTGCCTTTGGCTCGCTGCACATGCTTGGCACTAGGCTCTCCCGCCTCCGCTCCCCGTCTTTTCATGTAAGCCTGCCGGCCTAATTTGGTTCCGTTTGCGCTTTCTTGCCCCGTAGAGCGGAAAAATACAGTCCCTTTGTGATTTGAGGTTGTTTTGGTTTCTGATGATGATGACAATGGCTGATGTAACCGGAGCAGACAGGTGTCCAGCTAGTAGATGATTGCATGGTATGTATGTATGTATGTATGTATGTATGTATGTATGTACAGAATAAGATTCGCTGGAATTCGAGAGCCTTTATCCAGATTTTGTCCTTCATTTCACACAAACTTCCAAGCATGATAGCCCGAAAGCTATTTCCATGTGTCCGTGCCACAGCTATTTCCATAGGGATCTGTCTAGGTCTCAGTCGGCTGACGTCATCACGAGTAGATTAGGCCTGTTTACTAGCTCTTGTACTGCTAGGTTGTATCCGGCTAGAAACTGGGCTTATTTTCGTTTTCTGTTTGTTTGTTTGCTACTTTGGGATGGGCTGGGTTATGATTTGTTTGTTTGTTTGTACACACATTCGAAAAAAGTTATTGAACAAAAAAGTTGGAGGCCAGGCCCAACCAATATCGATACAAAAAAATTATGAATGTACATACGAGGAGGGGAGTTGCTGTTCAGAGCTAGCTAAACAGAACCGTGCTGTCCATTGTTCATGGAATTGATCAGATCAACTTATAGATGTATTTTAGTACTAAAGTTGACTAGCAGCTTGCAGATGCTCCTCTTCCTAGTTTCAACAAGAATACATAGACATGTTGACACGGCTGGTTAACTTCCCTGCATTAAGTAGCTAGTTAACAAAAGTTCATGTATTAGCTAGTTTAAACTTTAGCATGAGTATGGAGACACGGCGACACAGCTAGTTAACATCCTGTGTTACCTAGTTAACCCACTGTTTCAACTAAATAAAACTAAAAAAATCATGAATATTTATAGAAAAAGGTTACTAACCATTGTAGCAACTTCTTCAAAAAGCGAACCCTCTCATGCTTCTGTGTCAGTGATTTCTTCATGATATCCTTTCTCTTCTAACGCTGGATCTCCAAGACATCGCTCTTTGCCTTCTGCATTTTAGTTGTCTGTTTTATTTTCAGGGTCGCTTCCTTTCTCATCCGTGTCAGTGCTCGTGTGCTGCTGTATTCACAAAATGTATATGTGACATTAGTGTTGTGAACAAGGGGACTAAAAAACAAAAAAAAGGCAGAAAAAACTAAGGATATGAACTGGACAAACATTATAGCCACTAGCACAAATCATCAGACAATTTTAGTTCCTTTTATCAAAAACACAAACTTCACTGATGCTTGTGTTATAAAAACAGGACAACAAGAACAGGTGAAACTTTGATGATTGCTTATGCATCTTCTATTCTGATATGTTATAACCATGGCCATCTATAAAACTCTGCAGCTTCCAGCTTGTGTTATACACAAATTTCTACTATGCATTCAAAGTTGCTGATGAGGACATCAACAAGGTGTTGTGCTTATCCTGGTCGGATGGCTACTCGATAAAAGTGTATCAGTTATATGGTGATTGTTTGAGTTTTGGCACGACATACAAGACGAACTGTTACAATATGCCAATTTGCACCATTTGTTGGCATCACTCAACACGGGCCCCTCTCTCGACGCCGCCTCCTACGACAAAACAAAGGTCCCCCAGTTGCGTCCAAGTTAGAAGACATGCAGTTGCGTGC